TGGAGTCGATAATGACTCCAAGATCCTTTTCCACCTCCGTGCTGACTAGAGGGGAGTTCCCCAGCCTGTAGGTATGGTGCCGGTTGTTCCTCCCCAGGTGCATCACCTTGCACTTGCCTGTGTTGAACCCCATCCTGTTCTCCTTTGCCCATCCTTGTAACCTGTCAAGGTCCGACTGTAGCCTGTTGCTCCCTTCTATTGTGCCCACATCCCCCCACATCTTGGTATCATCAGCAAATTTGAACAGGGTGCTTTGCACCCCCTCATCCAAATCACTGATGAAGATGTTGAACAGGGCGGGCCCGAGGACCGAGCCCTGCGGGACCCCACTGCCCCCGTCCTTCCAGGCCGAGAAGGACCCATCCACTACCACCCTCTGGGTGCGGCTCTCTAGCCAGTTGGCGACCCATTGGACTGTGTGGGTGTCTACGCCACAGTCCCCCAGTTTCCTAATGAGAACAGGGTGAGAGACAGTGTCGAAAGCCTTCCAGAAGTCCAGGAAGACTATATCCACTGCTACCCCTGCATCCAATGATTTAGTGACCTGATCGTAGAAGGCCACCAGGTTGGTCTGACATGACCTGCCGCTGATGAACCCGTGCTGGTTGCCCCTGAGCATGCATTTCCCTGCTGGCCCCTCCTGGATGTGTGCCAGAATAATTTTCTCAAACAGCTTGCCCAGGATCGAGGTAAGACTGACTGGCCTATAGTTTCCCGGGTCCTCCTTCCTCCCCTTTTTGAAGATGGGAACCACGTTGGCCCTCTTCCAGTCCTCCGGCACCTCTCCAGAGCACCACGAGTGCTCATAAAGCTGCGCCAGGGGACTCGCAATGACCCCGGCCAGTTCCTTTAGAACTCTAGGGTGGAGATCATCCGGACCGGCTGACTTAAAAACATCCAGCCCCTCCAGCAGCTCCCTAACTAGATCCTCACTTATCCCAGGCTCAGGTGTGCCTCCCTCAGGGCCTAGCAGGGAGAGTAGAAGCTGCCCAGACCTTTTATTCTGCCCTTAGGGCACTAAGACTGACTCTAAAGACCAGACATTGGGTGCCTCCAGGGCTGTAGCTGTAAAAGCATCTGGGAATTGAACTCAGGTCTCCTGTGTGGTAGGTAAGTATCATACCACTGAACCACAGGGGACTCTGGATGAAGTTCAAAAGATTGGGATATGTGGTCTTTCCTTAACTCACGTAACTGCCCAGAACCTTAAAGGAAGGACATTGACTCCTCCTTGTATTACTCCCATTTCTATTGGCACTTCCACAAGGATCTAGTGAGAATCTGGGCTAAAAGGGACTGAAGAAAGGAAATGGATCTTTTCCAAATGTCTTTTCCAATGCCTGTTTCAGGAGTTATAGCTGTAAGATTGCACTATTTGACCAACATCCACACTGCTTGGGTTTACTGTTGGACTCTGCGTTTACAATATCAGTTTATAAGAGACTCACCCAAGTTCTTCTCTATTAGACATAAACCTCTTAAATCAATGTGCATGTTCAATATACTCTCATTAATTCCTTGCCTGTACTGGGGAGTTTGTTCTTTTTGGTTCTTCTCCAAAGTGTTCTGTGCCATTTTCTGAGTATGTAAACACTGAAATAAAACACATGAAAAACTGGTAATAGCTGAAGGCTCAACATCATTTGGCTTATCTTTATATTCCTACTCTGACTTTTCACTCCATCTCTCAGTCATGTTCTCTTTACATGAATCAGTCATTTCATTGCTCTAACATCTACAGGACCCCCAAAAAACTAAGGCCCATTGGCTATTGTGATGAATCATTTGGGATGGGCCTTCCTTTGTGAGGCTATTGTGCTGCCCCACACACAACCAGCAGGGCAGATAGTAATGAACTGTCTGCACAATAATATCACAATCAAACTTATCATCTTACTCCAATTGTTTCATGAGTTGATTAGTACCTTTTTTCATCCAGCTCACCTGCTGACTTTGATGGCATTAGCCCACCGATTATAAAAACTGCTATCTAATATTTAGAGAACTCTGTATCTCAGTTCTCAGCAAGCTTGAACATTATTTTAAATGTAAGAATCCATCAACTGTTATGACACTAAAGCCCTCTGAAAAGTTTAGGACCACAGTTTACTTGTATACTTTCTAACAGAAGTCTCCAAAGCACTAGTTTTTAATAGAAGACTAAATACTTAGTGCAAGGGTCTGCAACCTATGTGAGATGTGATCTGACCTGGGGTAGTGAGCAGCAGCAGGGGGATTGGCAGCACTTGGCAGCATTCTGCAACAGGGATATCAATGGCACGTGGTAAGCAGGGTACCAGAATGGGACTCTTTTGGTGAGTCTGTGCTGCCCTGCTGCAGCTGCTGCTATCAGTGGTGGGGTGAATGGTGACAGCATCCGCAAGAGATGTACATGCCGGGTTTGGGAAATGCTGGCCTAAGGCAACATTTGGTGGCACATGGTGCCAAGGAGGATGGCAAGGGAAGTGTTTGGGTTACAAGCAGCAGCCCACCTCCTAGCTGAGCCACATTACTTTGTATTATATTGCTTGTATCATTATTTGTATTACTAATTATTTTCATAACATTGCTGCTCCACCTTCTAGTGAATTTTTCTCTCATTTTTCTAAGATTTAGATTAAGGAAAACAGAAGCCAAGGAACTGCCGAACTTCTGCTGAATCTCTCTCACTCTTCCCTATTGCATTTCTCATTGTGAACTGAAAGCCAGACAAGAATCTGTCTTTTAAGAAAAGTCTTCCCCAAGATTTAGGTAGTAAATCTATATTTTGGAGACAAAATTGTATTTTTAGACACTGAGAAAACAGAGTGTTAATTGCTTGAATAGGAGGGATGAAATGTCAGGTGCATGGACTGGACAGGAAAAAGAGGGACATTCATTAGTACAAACACAGCCAGTAAAGGTGTGGATGATCCTGAGAAAATTTCTGTCCCGTTCTAGTTGCAGTATTTGAAGATGTCTGAACACAAACTGGATGTAATCTTGTATCTTGAATACTTAAGCTGAAAACACCCCAGTTCTATTTACCTGCTTCAAGCAATGCTAATCGTGACACCTCTCTGAATTGTTTGTCCAGCCCCACAGTAAATAGAGTGAATCTACAAATTGTGGAGGACCTGAGGAGCTTATCTCTTGATTTTCAACAGTAACGAATTTACACCTGTGTCACAGTGTATAATGCCACTATTGTGACCTGCTAATGTTTTACAACCAATTGGCAGAGCTGGAAGGTCAGCTCACAGTTTGTTTGGACACATTAGGAGATGAAAATTTTTTTCCATATGAATTTTTATTTTCTGGATGTTGAGGGGAAGGTGTCATGAAAAAAGGGGTTAAATAAAAAAGTCCTGGGGAATAATGTGCAATGTAATAGTGAACATTTTTTACATCTATTGTGCATTTCTATAGAGAAGCTTTTCAAGCTACTAGGCTGTGGTTTTGATCTGAAAATACACCACATGAATATGGTACTTTCTAGTTCATCAGATCAGCTTCCTTTGTGTATTCAGGGTAATTTCTGCTGGACTTAGTGATAAAAATAAAACTTAACTACTAGCTTTGGGCCCTGGTAGCCATGTCGAATAAACATTGCCAAAAGCTAGTAAGCTAGATTGTATTCTTGGTCTATCAGCAGAAAATTCTTCTTGGCATGTTTTTTTCCCCCTACATCTGAAGTGGTGACACCTGCACAAACTGCCTGTTGGCAGTGGGGTCATGCAGGTGTCACTAAGATTGTAATTTGTCTTTCAAAACTTTTATCACTAGTGGTGATTCACACAAAGAAAGAACATAATTGACTCTCAGAGGCCATGCTGAGTTTACAGGGCTGGATGTTACAAAATTCATCTTTTTATATGCAAATGGAGAACTGTTGTTACTGTAGGTACATTAGCATGAACAATAATAAATGTGCCTTTGCAATTATTAGACTAAATCTTTAGAAGGGAATAAACCAGCCTGCTAGACTTATTTTTATAGTACTTCTGTAGCTGTTATACTAAAAATTCCATCTACTGGAATTTTTTTTAAAGGAAATCAGGCTTGCCAGGGAAAGCAAAGCCCAATGGACCTGCTTCATCAGAGTTACTGGAGCTTTACATAACAGCAACTCCAGATAGAATCACTGCATATCACTTTAAGCCTGGAGGAAAAAGAGGTAGATCACAAGAACATTTTAAAATAAGTTCATTACACTCTTAATATTTATTTGGTTCTTTCTCTTAGATTATTACCTGATATGCACAAACACTATAGGACAAAGAAACTATGAGGACTTCTTTTCCACATACTCTAGAAATTCATCTGTTTTCATATTTGTTTGCAGTAGGAGAAGCATGAAAACCATGTGGGAACTCTGGGAGCATGAAAAGAGTTTTTCCATTTCATTTTGTCATTTGGTTTGTGCAAACAGCATGGGCAGTTTATTAGATCTACCAAGTGAAAGTTTTTTTGAGCAACTGCTGCATAATTCATACACTGAGCCGTTGAAAGATGGATTGTAAAGAAAGTCACTACTGATCAAAGGAATCATTAATGTGCCAAGGACGTTGTTGAGAGGTTGGACACATATTGAGCTCTTTAAACTAGTCTCTTTCAGCAAGTTTATTGAATGCATCCAAGTCACATAGATCCCATAGGAAAAAATTCTCCTGGGCTCAAAACAAGGTGGTAAGGTATGTAAAGAAAAATTGATTGAAAAACATAAGGTGACAACTTTAAACTCAGGTAGGATGGATTAATAACCACTGGCCAATGGTTGCACTTCTAAAGTCGATTTACACTTCCAAACCATCAAGTAAGTAGCATCTGAAGGTGTGTGCCAAGACGACCTTAAATTGACAACAAGGAAAAGAACTGAACACTGAGAAAAGGAGTGAAACGGTGAGAATAAGTAATAGAAGAGAGGCTCAGAGGGAGTTTAAAATGGGGGAAGGAAGGGATTTTGAAGTTACCACCTGGCTAATATTAAAATTATCTGGCATATGGAGTGAAACATTTGTAAGGGAGTGAAGGGACCTGTGGTATGTTTTTGCAGTGTACATTCTGACTGCATACGCAGTTTTGGAATAATTCTCTGGTGAAAACAGCAAGCAACTCCAATTCTTCCAGCCCGAAGTTTTACTGGGCACACAGAAGTTCTTTCTACCATCACCACAACTGGACTCGGGCACTGCAAAATTAATGACTCACTGTGTCACACCCATGGCTAAGGCAATTCACTGCATGCTGTGCGTTCATAATCACTGGGCAGCAGTCATAGACACACATCATAACAATTATACATACTATTGTTATAATGAAATCATATTACATACAGACTCCAAAGGGACAAAGGGTTGGAGCTATTTGTATTATTTACGATTTGTATTCCTGGAGCACCTGGAGGTTTTTCATAGATTCATAGATTGTAAGGTCGGAAGGGACCTTGGAAGATCATCAGGTCCAGTCCCCTGCACCAAGCAGGAAAGATAACTGGGGGTCAGGTGACCCCAACAAGGTGACTGTCCAGTCTCCTCTTGAAGATTTCCAGGGTAGGTGACTGCACCACCTCTGGAGGGAGCTTATTCCAGTCTGGACACCGACTGTGAAGTCGTTTTTCCTAATGTCGAGCCTGAATTGATCTTGCAGGAGTTTGTGGCCATTACTCCTGATTTTCCCCTCAGGTGCAAAGGTGAACAGTTGCTCACAGAGCCCTTGATGTACTCCCCTAGTGTAGTGGTAAGCTGCTACCAGGTCCCCTCTCAGCCTTCTTTTCCTCAGGCTGAAGAGTCCCAGATCCCTCAGCCTTTCCTCGTATGGCTTGCCTTTTAAGACTCTGATCATATGGGTTGCTCTTCTTTGGACTCTCTCAACCTTGTCCACATCCTTGTTAAAGTGCGGTGCCCAGAACTGGACGCAGTACTCTAGTGGTGGTCTCACCAGTGCTGAGCAGAGCGGAAGAATCATCTCCTTGGTTTTGCTGGAGATGCATCGTTTGATGCATGCCAGAGTATTATTTGCCAGACTAGTTATAGCATCGCACTGCTGGCTCATATTCATACTATGGTCTATTATTACCCCTAGGTCCCTTTCATTTGTGGTGCTAGTCAGTTTGGTGCCAACAAGCCTGAAAGTGTGTTGGGGGTTGCTCATTCCCAGGTGGAGCATTTTATATTTCTCAACATTGAACTTCATCAGATTCCCATCCACCCAACATGCCGGCCTGTCTAGGTCCGCCTGTATCTGTATGTAGCCTATCTTCAAATGTGACCACGCTTTCCCATAACTTGGTATCGTCCATGAACTTGGCCAGTGAGCTCTTCACCCCCACAACCAAAACTGAGGCACGTGGTGACTGGAACTAATTATGAATATGAGTACTACATAGTGTGCCCTGAAGAAACTATAGGGACAAAGGTATTAATAAAATGCCACAGTAGGTTCGAGGGAGAGGAAGGAAGTGAACCCAGATGTGCTGACTCTCCACTTGATTTCAAGTAGATTTGGTTCATATGCTATACGAAAATCAGTCTTTATCGATTCTAAGGCTCTGAGGAATTAACCCATACTGGTAAAGAACACCTTTCAAATTCCTCCCTTTCACCCTTTGGCCAAATCACCCCCAAATCAGAATATGCCATAAGGAAAAGCTGCAACAGTTCACATTGATTGCTCATGCTACTCCATCACTTTGTGCATCTGCAAATGCTGGAATGTCCTGCACTCACCACTGTTGCTGCGTCTCCTGTTTATGTCAAATGTGCCTCCTGAACCATCCGTTTCCTCAGGAACTTCTGCCAGGTCTGAAGTCTATGAGTGAACAAGATGGGATAAGACAGAAAGAGAAGCAATGAGGCAAAATGAAATCACATCAGAGCCTTAAGTAAATGCAGAAACTTGGTATTGAGTATTTTGATGTATCAAAGGGGGCAAGCCCGCCCCAATTTCTGGGCCAACAGTGCAATAGGGGGGGCACAGGCCTGCAGCCTGGCCAGACCCAATTCTAATCTGTTAGCAAAACTACAAAGTCAACCCTGACACAACCACAAGACATAGCACCTTAGTTTGCCCCAGGTAAAGCAGGGGGACAAAGGCAGCAAAAGTCCTGTGGCTGCAAATGTTGTTAAAATATCTTCAAAAGATCTGAAGAAGACGGTCATGCCCCCTGCTACAGATGAAGGCAAAAAACAGTCCATACTATTCTGACTTCAGGGTAAAATTCTTTCCTGACTTCATATATGATAATCACCCTGACCCTGAGAGGATGGGGATGATGCTCTGGCTAGGAACCTCTGAGCTAGTCCCAGCAGAAGCACTGGAACATCCCAGTCAAAATCCCCAGCCTTGACTGCAGCCACACACACTGCTTTTGAAGAAGGGATAGAAAACCTCCTGACACATAAAGCAGCAGGAGGGGAAAACTTATTCTTTCCTGGCTCCACGTGGCAACCAAGAAGCCTAGGAGCATGGGAAATACCCACAGTAGAACATAGGCATAGCTCCTCCTAGATCATCTCTGGCCAATGTCTGTCCAACCTCTTCTTGAACAGCCCTAATGATGGCAAATCCACAACTCCACTGCCTCTCAGTTTTTCCTGATATCCAATCTAAACCTACTTTGCTGCAAGTTCAAGTCATTGGTAGTCCATGTTCTACTTTCTTCATCGAGAGAGAAAAGGTGTTTTCCTTCATCTTTATGGCATTTCTTCAAGTATTTGAAGACTGCTATCATGCTTCATCTAAATTGCCATTTCCAGAGGCTGAACATGCTTATTGCCTTCAACTTCTACTTATGTGGCTTGCCTTCCAAGCTATTTATTATTTTTATTGCCTGCCTCTGAACCCTCTCTAACTTCTCCCTGTCCTTTTAAAAATGTAGAGCCTAAAATAACTGTACACAATACTCTAGATCAGGTCTAACCAGTGCCAAGTACAGAGGCACTTTCATGTCCTATGTTTTTCATCTAATGGTTCTATTGATGCATACCAAAACTGCATTTGCCTTTTATGTAACTGCATCACACTGCAGACTCGTATTGACTCTGTGAACTACCGAGCCTCTCAGATCCTTTTCCGTAATGTTGCCATCCAGCCAGGTGTCACTCATTTTGTATTTTTGATTATTCTTCCTGAGGTGTAGCATTTGGTATTTGTCAGAACAGAACTTCATCCTTTTAGTTTTAGCCCAGCTTTCCAATCTGTAAAGATTCTTTGGAATAGTGCTCCTGTCCTCCAACGTATTTGCAATCCTTTCCAGTTTTGTAGTCTGCAAACTTGCTCAAGAAATGCTCAATTCCAGCATCCAAATCTTTAATAAAAACATTGAACAGCAATGGACCCAGGACAGTCCCCTGCACCTAATTTATTTTAAAGAAGGTATTTAACTGGTACAGTTTCAGGCCTCAAAAGCATATTGTTTAAAGGCCTGATCTTATACTCTTTAGTGAGCTGAATAGCAATTTTACATGAGTCTCCTTGCTGGAATAAGGAGATACTCAATATAAAGCTTTCAAAATCTGACCTAAGAAATGTCACTTTCTAAACTCTACTCACCTGTCTACTTTGGAGATTATTTTAAAAACATCTCTCTAAATATAGAGTCTAAGATTTTTTCTCATCTGAAAAGCTATTATCCTTTGTATAGCCTTCTTCATTTCCTAATAACATTTTATTGAAGTGCTCTTGAACATTTCACCCTACCATTTAATTTCTTACAATGTTCCACAATTACTGTGTACATACAAGGAAAACAACTGCTTTGCAGGCCTGTACTTACATTGCAAGAAAAAAAAGATACAGCAAAAAGTGCACCTAGCTATACTTAAAGGTTACCACCAAAGGTAAATGTTCTAGTATTGTTTCCTTTCACTACTGTGGTAAAAATACGTTATAATTCGGCCACCAGGCCTTTGCAATTGCTTTTGTGTTCAACATGTTTTGCAATAGCTTCTGCATATAGATTAAGGCTTATTTTGCACATAGATCTTGCAACCATACTTATTCAGTGCACTAGGGTTACACCAAGATAAGAGGTTATTAAGGGGCATTAGTTTCGCCGCAGTTCTGCTTTTGGACTGCGCATGCGACAGGACCTTTTGCCGCAGTTCTGCTTTTTGACTATGCATGTGCTAAACTTGATAGGAAACAATAACCAATAACAAGTTGAGCTCGACCTGCAAGGCAAGACGTAACAATAAGGACTTTCTGCATACCTGGCTGCAAGGAGACACTTTGCCCTCAAGATTATGTAAGACCTATGCAAGGCTTTCTGTTGTCTTTTTGGCTCATTGCATTGTATTTTAAATTAGGCTAAGTTGTGGGTGCATCTATACGAGATGCTAAATGCACAGTAGACTCATTCTACTGTGCATTAGCGCATCATGGCAGAAGCTGTGCTAATGCACAGTAGATTTAGTCTACTGCCCATTAGTGTCACTAAAAGACCATGTGCTGGCACTATTATGTAGTAGCATCAGTTACTGTTCATTGAGTTAGTATCTGTTATTACATCTACTAAACTGAATGCACTGTAACAATGGCACATTCATGTATGTGTAGATGTGCCCTGTGTGTGCTATCACTAGGCGTGTCTACACGTTCATTAATGCGTTTTCCTAATGCACATTGAATTTAGTACCTCTAATGTGAGGCACTAAATAAATGTGCATTAGGTTGCCCCAATGCACAGTAGCAAAAGCACACTTTTTTAGTGATGCTTAATGAGCAGTAGCTTAACTTTACTGTGCATGATTTTTTACACAATATTTTTCACAAAGTTTATGCAAAGTTTTTCTGTTGTTCTTTGTAGTGTGCTTGAAGTTGCATATTGCTGTGCTCAATAAATGGTCTCTTCAGAGAATGTACTATTCTTGTTCAAACATTTATGAATTCAGTGCCACTACCTGAAGTCTAACATGAAGTCTGGTAACAGTTGGTATTGCTATGCTTTCCTCCCTAAAGCTCTCAAGGGCAGGTTCCTGTTTTGCATCACCTATAAACTTAGCAGCTGCACTAGGCATACCCAAGTACATAATGCACAACTTCCATTGTGATCATAATGGAACAAAAGACCCTCAAGGACCAGGTCTGCAGAGCCATGGGAGGTGAGAAGCAAGAGTAAAATATTCCGTGCCCTTTATTTCTATAACTGCTCATTCATTGCTGGCTCACAACCCTATGCCCATTGTTCCAAAGTAAAGGCCTTAAATCAGGAAAATGTATAGTTTCATGTAGCTGTCTTGCAGTTTTCTCTATTATCTATGCACTGACATGTGCCACATTAAATCCACTGTCTAACTTCCCAGGAGAAAATGCCACAACAAACTGGCATTCTGTATTTTACACCTACTCTCCACCTTGTTATTATCAAAACTCCAGGGCAAGCTGACTCTGTCTTTATGTTTTCTATGCATGAGTATTCTTTCATAATTTAGCATAATGCTTTATTGACTTACCAGATAATAATTACATTCAAAGAACTGCTGTTCCAGTATAAATTAAATAAGTGAAAGAATTAGTTATAGGCACTAAGTAAGAAAGGTACTAGAATTGTTTTTGGTTTTAAAGAAGGAGGAAAATACTAAGTTTCTTTCAAAATAAAAAGGAATTGAATGAAGGGTATAACGCCTTCATTCAGCTTCTTGAGCCTATCATCCTACCCAGCTTTGACAAAAGATTGTACGGTCTTGTTTGGATTAGCTTGAGTTTGCCTATTTGAATTAGATTCACATCTCTGTTTAGAAGTTTATCTGTATAAGTGAGACCCCCGTTTATCTCTGCATTTAAATCTGTGTTTAAGCTGCAGCAAAGTCCTGGTTTGAGTCTTGTGATGAACATGGATATATACAAGCACAATTTTAACGTCAAGTATATGCTGAAGCAGTTTGCTGAATCGGGTCAAAGTCCTATGAGATTTTTGGGCTAAACTGAATTTCTCTCCAAGGTAAATGTACCCTTTTTCATTGCAGAGGCCCTACCACTATATGGAGATTGGCATTTAACCACCTTGCCTCCTCCTTCATCACCATAAACTTCAACCCTTCTGAGACATCTTGCTTACAGACTTTTTTAATGAGGAGGTGAGCTGGCATCATATAATCAGCCTGCTATTCATGAACTACAGGCAAGTACTTCCTTGGGACCCGAATTTCAGAGGTGCCAATCCTGAAGTTTTCATTGAATTCAGCTGAAGTGGTGGACATTCAGCAACTGAGAAAAAAATTCCCTAGCTGTACTCACGAGGGACTTAACCATGGGCTACTTTAGACACCTGTGTATAAGAGTAAGGACATATGAGCTGCCTCCTTTATCTTTTGAATGAACCATCCATATCAGGGACCCCTGTATCAGTTGGCTGCTACTCTTCCTCCTCTGTGTGGAGCTGCAATTCAACCCCAATTCTTCTTCTGGGCAACACAACTATACACTGAAACTGAGCAGCACAAATCCAAATATAACAGAACAGTCCACCTGTTTAATTTCCGTTGTTCTTTGTGTCTGGGGTAGATGTTTTTTTATAAAAGCCTGAAATGTAGGCTTTCCATTCTGGATGGAAATTCAGCAATGGTGGCTATGAATGAGTATGCTGTGGTCTTCCAAAAAGAAAATGAATGATGAAATACAACACTTACAGAATTCCTCTTGGGTGAGTCAGATCCACTTCCAGAGCTGCCCTTCTTGGTTTTCTGCGCCAAAGAAGTTCCAAAGCGGAGGGTTTCATAGACAGGGTCAACCTTATTGCCACAGGCTGTAACAGAAGAGGCAAGACACAGATAAACTCATGAAAAAATGGGCCCATGCCTCACCTTCGCTCTTGAGACATAATGATATGCATCTTTATGGTGGGAGACAAGAACAACAAACATGGTAGACCTATCACACATGTGCTCAGTGAGCATGGAAGGATCCTTCCATCTAGAGGATCTGGAGAAATCAAACTTCAGTGGAAGTGACTTTTGCTTTCTTGCTGCTCTTTTCAAGGCTATCTTTTTCTGTTAGACACTTCGTTCCTCTCCCATTCCCTTATCCCTCTTTAAAAGAACCCCCCCACTTCATTCCTGACCCTCCTCCCTCACTTAGTCACAATAAGGCCATCACTCTCATGGAAGTTATTCCACTTGTATCCACTTTTCTTGTTAACAGAACTATTGTAACTGTTCTTACATCTTCTGTGGGGACCTCCATGATGCACTGCTCCTCCCCTTGTCTGGCCCTAGTTCCTTCCTTGACCCTCTCCCCACTTCCCACTCCCAGAAGGATTAAAAAAAAAGGATGTTGGCAGTTTATGGAGTGATCTTGTAGACGTTTAGTTCCTCTTTGTGTTTCAGCAGCACATAAGCACTTCTCAAACTTTAAAACAACAAACAAATGTTTCACTTGAATCAGAAAAAAGATAATGTGGCCCTGATCCTGCTTTAGCCATCACAGGAGAAGACTCCTGTGCCTATGGCAAGCAGAAGCAAAATCAGTGGGTGGGTGTGGGGAGGGCCTGTCTACATTGTTATCACTGTAAGATGAAGTTCTTATATGTATATCGTGCCTTTCAGAACACTTTCAGAAATTATGGACCTGATTCTGGTCTCATTGACATTGATATAAATGGAGATAAAATTTTCAAAAGTCAATAAATTTATACTGACAAAACAGAGACCTGGGTTCAAGACCTGTAGAATATACAGCAAGGGTTACCAACCTGTGACATGCAGACTAGAACTGCCCAGTGCAGCATGAGGGATCAGTGTAACAGCTACACTGTGTCGGCTGCCCATCCAATCTGAAGTGCTCCCCTCCACTGTACAGCCTGTTGCTCCACAGCATCTGAGCTGACCCTTGCTGCAGGTAGGGTCAGGAATCTGGCAGCTGGCTGCTCAGAGGAGGGGGAGAGGCAGAGACTTCTGGCCTGCAGCGATGACTGGAATACAAGTTCCAGCTGACACTAGCTAAAGGTTGTGGACCCTCATATACAACATCACTGCAAAGCAGCACCCCTGGGGTATAGGGCGATAACCAGTTAGAATACAGCACAACAGTACAGTATAGGGAA